GTGGTAATAGTGTTTGTAAACAGGATATCATGTCTGCATCTTGTACAGCAAATAACCACTAGGAAGAGAGTATGCAATGTGAAACTGTCATACCACTTTGATTTGAAACTATCTCATTGCTATATGTCTCTCAATAAAATTATGGAAAAAAATAAAGTTAGTTGTTGGATGTGAATAAACTGGTGTGCGTGAACCTGGGATTAAGGTATTGCACTTGTCTCTTTTGCTCCATGACCTTGGAGTTGGGCAGCTTTGACTGTTTTCTGCAGAGTACCATTTATATCAGATTAGGTCTCATTGGTCCATTCTTGCTAGCGAAGGATGGGGAACAAACTTTAATTCTCTGTAAACTCAACAAAATTACCAAATTTAAAATGTTTAATGTTTACATTTTAAAATTTTATTTAAAATTTCATAGGTATGCTCGAACGACACCCTCTGAGGACTCAGATAAACTTTCCCAAATGCAGTTACTCCCTTCTTGCATTCTGGTCATTTTGGTACCGCAAATTGTATTATCATGTACATATGTATGTGTCCTTCGGCAGTGCTGGACTTCTTTAGGTGCCCCAGGGCCTTCTCACTGAGCTAGATCTCCAGTCCCTTTTTTTTTTAATTTGGAAAAATGGTCTTGCTGAGCTGCTAAGTTGCCCAGAATGGTCTCCAACTTGCAGTTCTCTTGTGTGAGCCGTCACAGTGCTGGGGCTATAGGGACCCTTCCCACACCCAACTGCACGCAGTATGTTAATCTATGCACACAACTATTTGGAGATAATCAGCCTGATGAGTGGCTTTCGGAGTCCCAAGGAAGACTCCTGAAGACTCTTGAATAGTGCCAAATTTCTTTGCTGAGAATCAGTCTCATCTGAACACAACATACCCAAGCTTCTTTCTTTTTAAGTCTGTATACTTGATTGGGGCTTCCCGAGTGCTAAAAATATGAGAGCTACAGTGAGTCCTATAATCTAATTATTATTCTATTATATTAAGTTATATATATCAACATGGTAGTGTATACATGACGTTCATCTTGGAGAATTGCTATATATACATTGTATTTTAATCATATTCACTTCCTCTTCCCTCCTTTTCCTGTTATCTCCCCCTAGCTCAGGCCCCCTTCCCATCTCTGCCAAAGAGCTTTCCAAGTGGTCTCCTCATGAGTCCACGCTCGTGTAATGTCTTCTCCCCCTTCCATTTATGTCGCTCCCCCACCCTCCAGTCCTCTTTCATCTTGCTGCTGTGTGACTCTTTCTGCAGCCCAGACCTGAGCAGGGGAGGACGGCTCCACACTTCCGGGGCTCCGGGAGCCCTGGGCGCTCGCACACAATGCGGCGCCCTGCTCTGCCGTTGCTCACGCTGTCAGGTCTGCCGGGTTGCGATTCTGCATAACCAAGTCTGAATAAACGAGCACTCGAGCAAAACCATGTCACCGTGAACATTCCTGCCGCTACTTATTTTTAAGCCTGTGTGTATGATTGTGATCATAAAAAAGTTGACTGAGATCATGTCTATTTCAGATGTAAATTGGAATCTGAAATAAAATCTTTTCTCAGTGAGGAGCACATTGGAAATGATTGTCTTTGTGACCTTACAGATTTTGGTGAGATTTTTTTAATTGTATATTTAAAGGGGAATTTTTTGTTTTCAAGAATAAAAATGTGCCTTCCTCTCCACGCTCTTATAATATTAATGGCCATTTTCCTAAAGCAATAAAAACATTTGCATTCCCCAAAGAAACATAGAATAATAATATGTTGCCCTGATTTAATTTTGTTTCACCATAGAACGAGTATTATCAGAACAATGGTGTATATATCTTAAGGATGTGATAGATCCTATTCATCAGCTGAGAACGGATCTGAAGTTCAGGCAACAGACCTTACAGCGTTCACACCTGCAGACGGAGCTTAATTCAGGCGCAGTGCTGGAAGAGGTCTGTGCATTACATTTATTTTTGTTAACATAATACTGCATTTTCATCCCACTGAAAAGATTTTGAGATAAGAAACAAACCTAGGTGCCTCGTGTGCTTAAAGAGATGACCGCTCAGTACTTACACGTATGTCTGACTCTGCCCAAGTACCCTCACTTCTCAGAACTGGTCTCCCCGCTTTCCTCCTCCCAGTACACGCTGGGATGCTGCTCCAGTGCTGGAGAACAAGCCATCCTGCTGCTGAAATCCCTGGCCTCCTGTTGGCCCTATGTCCACCTGCCCATGTGACTGCTTCCTTGCTGCTTCAATTTACTTCTCACCTGGCCTTGTCCCTTTGTAGGAGAGCTGGGTACCTCTCCTGGAGGTGCCTGGCCATCTTTCTGTGCCGCCAACATGCCAGTCCCGTGACCTGTAGGGTGGCCCTTTCTTCTGTCCGATTGATGACATTTTGTGTCACCTAGTTCCTTTCTTGTGCGAGGCCTCTCCTAGATGCCACAGTCGCTCCTGCTCACAGCCTGTTTTTATGTCAGCTCCTCCTCTTGCTGCTTTCTCCTGTGCTTTTTCTTCATTCATTGTTGACTCCCCCTTCCCAATACAGCATGAGCTCTGTGAGTTTAAGTGAATTTAGGTGATTTTTGTTCTCTACTTCTCAGCTACTTTGTAATACTATATTGCTTTCAGACATAATAAATTTAAATCTGTGCCTTGCTGGGGACTAGAAACAAGAATGGGTAGGAAGGAAGGCAGGGGTGATTGAAGTCGAGAGTCTGCGAAGTTCTCTGCCTTGTCATGAAGGAATCCAAAAGTGGGTGCAGGACGGCTATGATGGCGCAGTGGGCCCCCCTCTTGGTTATAGGTCTGGAAAGCCCCCTGAGGCTCAGGGGCATGATCAGCCCTGCCTGGCCAGCGCATCTGTAACTTGCTTTCTCATGTTCTCAAAAAGAATTTTCCCCTACTTCATTTTTCATCACTTCCTGACTTTTGAGAATGGTTCTGGTCTTTAAGGATACATACTGGACGAATCACACTAACTTGCACGCTGCTTGTTTCACGTGCCCTCTAGGTTGACTTTGTGAAAAAGCAATTGGAAGCTATCTTTAGAAGCCTCAGCTGGGAGCAGCAGAACATAGAAAATGATCTTTCAGACTATACTGTAAAAGTAAGTGGGATGCAGCTAGGAATTTATTTGCCAATTTTTCATTTATGTTAAATAAAATAATTGAATAATTTTCTTTTCAGATAATCAATTATTCTTTAGAAGAAAAAGCCAACCTGCTTAGTGAACTACCCACAGAATTAGAAACTTTGGAATGCCCATACCCTGAACTGAAATCTTCCATCCTTAATGAGTTCTTCAACTTTACAGAGAAATATCAGAACAAACTTAATGATTTTGATTGGCAGTTAGAAGACATACACAGGTAATAAGATAAAATTACTTGAATCTACAGATTTTTGACACAATTTTAATTTAAGGTTACTACACTTCTGATTTACTATTTCATCATTAACTATGTGATTAGAAAACAATGAATAAATGTTTAGACTATTTGTTGAATGGAGAGGAATATTTTTTCCAAAATAATTTCCTCTTATAATGGCTTTTTCTTTTTTGAGGCAAAGTTTCATTATATAGTTTAGGGTGGACCTCACTATGTAGCCCAGGCTAGCCTTGAACTCCCAGCAATCCTCCTTCCTCAGCTTCCCATGGGTAATAGTTTTTTAAGATTTTTTTTGTAAGGTTGAAACATGATAAAAATATCCCTCTTACCGGCCTTCTGTACTTCACAGGTAAGAATGGTTTTCAAATAGAAATTTTTAAGAGCTGGGTATTTAGCTCAGTAGTGGAACTCTTGCCTAGCAAGCTGGAAACCCTGCATGTGGTCACTGGCATGAAAACCAAAACATAAACCTTAACCAAATATAAATTTTCTTTTTCTTTTTTTTTTTTTTTTGCAGAACCAGGGATTGAACTCAGGCCAGGGAAGCACTTATTCCACTGAGCCATCTCCTTGGCCCCAAATTTTCAATAACTATACATTTTTAATTAAAATATAAGCTCTTTAAAGTGGAAATGTACAAGTCAGCACTGACAAGTAATTATAATGGAAAATGTACTCACAGAATTATATTTCTTATAATCAACAGTGATTTTATCCTGTGGTAAACACAATATATTTCTAAATTATTGAAAGCTTTCTTTTGTAGGATAATTTTTTCTTGAGAAAATTGGCTTTTGGTTGTACCCTGAGAATGACAGTCCTCTTCTAAATGGCAAATGGTCAGTGACTTAAAATTTAGTCTTGGCCATGGTCATCTTCTCTAGTGTCTTCTGTTTATAATTCGCAGAAAAGATAAATTCAAGGATGCCACTCTGAGTCAGATCCATGGCCTAACTTAGTGTCTTATGTGACATTTCTAGAGGATATATGTTAGGAAAACTGGTTCTTCTTCCATGCTACTAGCCTCAAAATTTTCTCTAAAGTACTTAATTTAAAAAGAAGGGAAATTTACTAAAGATACAATTATAGAAAATTAAAAATAAAAAGTTCTTTATTTTGAAATGAAAGATAATAAGTATAACAAAATATTATGTGTCTTATTAATTGATGTGAATGCAACCCTTCTGTGAAACTACTAAGAAGAAGAAAGACATAAGGAAAACCTTAAATCCTACCGCACCAAGAAGATAAATGTATTGGTAGCTTCTAGATCTAAACTCTTCCGTGACATTTATTCATTATGTTAGCACCATGCAGACAACAGAGCCAATCAGAGGAGAAGTCAGGGCCCCTCCTGGCCTTAATTTTCTCATAACACTGCTGGCACAGCATGCTAAGCCAGGGACCGAACCCTGGCTCCTTTGCTTACCTAACCAAGTGCTTAGTCCGCTGAGCTATACTTCCAGCTCTTCCTTGCCCTTACTTTCTTCTTTCTTACCTTGTGATGAAGCTAAGGAATAAGTAAATAGCTTATGTGTACATTTGGTGATTGACTACCCTTTAACTGGAACTCAGTCACAGTGGAAGTATTAGCTCAACCATGTATTTAAATGTCAAATTTTCAAATGAGCATTTTTTTCACTGGTTCCACTCCAATCTTGTTAAAGAGATTTTAGAACTCCTCGGGAATGGGTTTTTATTTGGTAGGGAAGACATTGTTATCAGACTGAATAGCTGTGGCTGTGAAAAGGGTAAACTCTGACTTTGTGCTTTCCGCACAAGTTGACTGGACCAAAGTCTTCTTGCCCCAGTGATGCTTTGTCCTTCTGCAAAAGTGACTGAATTTGGCACCTTGAGGTTAGCATCTCTTAAATATGGCTGAGTTTGCCCTAGCAGCTTGAGGTGGCTTCCTCCCAATAAGATCTCTTCCTTACAACCCCCTTTTTCACCCTTTGAGCACAGTTTCATTCTTTTTTTTTTTTTTTTTTTTTTTTTTTTGCGGAACCGAGGATTGAACAGTTTCATTCTTAATACAACTTTGTGCCACTCCAGAGAAGTTGGGATTCACAGCTACATTGAAATTACTAAGAGAATTTTATTTATTTATTTATTTATTTATTTATTTATTTATTGGTGGAACCGGGAATTGAACTCAGGCCCTTGTGCTTGCCAAGGAAGCGCTTATTCCACTGAGCCATCTCTCCGGCCTCCTTTACTAAGAGAATTAGATGAACATCCATGATGTGCTAATGTTTCTGCAGTGGGAAGACATATTAAGAATAAACTAGAAAGCCTTGATAGAGAAAGGAGAGTTTACTATGGACTTTTACAGGGATAGAATTAGCACAGGCAGAGCATGGGCAGGAAGAACATTCTAAGAAATACAATGAAGTAATAAGACTATAAACCCCTGGAGGGCAAAATAAGTGATTAGCTATGCCTGTGCCTTAACATCTAACACTTTCTATACATAACATTTTTTTAAGAGCAGAATATATTTATTGGGGGAAAGGAAACTCCTGTCCAAGAGAAGGACAGAAGGACAACCTGAGTGGGTTGCCCTGGACCTGAGTGGGTTGCCCTCTATGTAGCACATTTTAAGTGAGCTGAACTGAGGGTGAAAACAATATAGGGAAAGAGTGGCGAGGCATGTTATTAGGCAACAGAAATCTACTTAGGAGAAATACAGGGTTCAGAAATTCCAGTTTAATAATCTTTTTTTGGTATCAAGAACTGAACTCAGGACTACAAGCTTGTCAGGCTAAGCTGCATTCCTGCCCTAAGAGTCTTCTTCCCTCCAAATTATCAAGAATATATTTTCCATAATTAATGGTGTGACTTACTTGGTGAACATTTATTGAAAAGTCCTTACTGTATAGTGGGCTCTGAGAAACCCCACAGTAGGAGGCTAGCAGGCAGAGTAGTCCGTACGTTTAGCTCCCCATGATAGACGTAATGGTACTATAGACATATGCTAATAAAAAAGTAAAGAACAGCCTTGCCTCCAAGAACACTTGGCATATTTGGGGGGAGAAATATACACATATGTACTCCAACTAAATAAAAATCACAAACTTTAGGAAATATGAATGTACTGGCAGCGAATAATGAAGCGCTGGTAAGAACTAAATGAATTTTTAGGAAGTTTCCTTGAGGTAAAAAAGAATAAAATGAATATTTCGACTAAAGGTTGAGATGGCTGGCATTCATTGGTAGTCTGTGGCTGCAAAGACTACAAATATATTATTCTCACTGGCAGAATGAATTACATGTTCAACTATAATATTCATCTCACATGTAGTCTGCTGGGAACTTATTCTTGAGATGTGAAAACTGTTGGGAAAAAGGGTATGGAATATTTGTGACTGGAAATGCTCTACCAAACAGCCCTATAGCAATCATTTATTTAATAGCAAATAAAGTTTGCAAATGGAGGATAACTAGAGGTTGACTGTTGTGATCCTAGGTAAATTAAGGGTTCTAGGTAGTCATTGTATCAAATTAGGGATTTTTTTGCTGCAAATAACTAAACCTCCAAATCACTGTGGCATAAGGCAATAATGTGGACTAATACTTGAGAAGCATACACATACTCACTGACTCAGGTGCACACAATCTGAGTCCTCACAAGGCCCAATTACTAGAACAAAAAAGGAAGATGCCACTTCAAAGAATTAAGTTTGTGACCTGATGTACCATTGTATATTATACAAATACGTATACACTGATTTTTAGTACTATTCATTACAATAACAAAAGACTGAACAAAACTTTAATAAGAACTAATTTTATGGATTATTGTACATCTATATAGCATGCTAGTCTGCAGATTACAAAGTGTGTAAACTTTACTTATTGACCTGAAACAATATTTGAGAGTTTGTATGAGGCAGAATTAAGCAAGAAAGTGATATATAGCACATATTGTGTAAAACGGAGAAAAGTAAACATAGGCACGTGCTCACGTGCACATATGTGCATATCTATGTCTGAAATAATATATATATATATAAAATTGATGACATTCATTGTCTCTGGGGAGAGATTAGATACCTGAGGGCTAAGGTGTGAGGGAGGATTGTTGTTATATTTTCCATTCATTGTTCTCTGAATTTTGAACCACATAAATGTATTTACTCTTCCAAAACAAATTATTTTTCATAGGAAAAAAAATTGCAAGGGTAAAATTAAACAAGAGCAAAACATTGGCAACATGCCAGGCATGAAATATCAAAATTCCTAAGATATAAAGACATCACAAATTAATTGAATAATGAGGCAGCCAAAAAGGAAAAGAAGTGAAGGAGAAGTGGAAGGAATTGGTTCATATTTTGAGCAAATGTTAAGCATCCACTAGAATAAAATAAAACAGCAATTTCTGTGCTAAGTGCCTACTTAGACAAGTGCACCAGGGTTTGATTCCTCCAGGCACACTGAGCCGGTGACCGAGTCCAGTATGGTAGTGCATGCCTGTAATCCCAGCACTGAGGAGCCTGAAAACAGGAGGATCACCACAAGTCCCAGCTGAGACCCTGTACAAAATATATTTAAAAGAAAATTATGCACAGTAGAACATTGTAAGGTGATAAGTGCTATGAAGAAATAGAGATTAGGTTAAAAGAGACAGAAGTGCTGGAACTCCTGAGGGGACCAGATTGTAATTTCAAAATAAAAGTTTGGAGACAGGCCTGGTAAGAGGAAGTGAAACTGAGGTAACTAAAATGGATTGAGAGTGCTGGTCATGCAGATGTTTAGATAACATCCCTTCACCCAGTGTTCACTTAAGTGAAAGTGTGCCTGCCAAGGGGTCAATGTGACAGGAACTGAGTGACAGTTCAGGAAATACCAGAAGGTGAGGGCAAGAACATAAGGGTAAAGAGTGGGATGTTCATTGATTCACTAAGTGTGGATGTCGGGCGCCCTCCCGTCCAGCAGGAAAGCACTCAACACGATTTGTGCGGCGGAAAGGCTTTAATCGT